TGGTACTGTCTCCCCTCTGTTCCAGTCGTTTCATGGTCCAATGGTACGTTATCTAAACGGAAGAGTTTTGTCCATTGACGAGGGCAACTCATCAAATGCCATCTATGTCCATAAGGAATGCATCGAGTGGTAGAGTTCGTCTTTTGTGTAGACTGTGCAACTCTTTATATTAATCTACATGATTTAGATATATCATCATGTCATTTTCACTGCAGATTTAAGAGCGCAACCATGTTCCCTTTTTTAGAAAAAAATCTGTTCAGTTCAATTTTAATCTAAAGGACTGCTTGGCTATGGTGATACAGCCTTTCATATTCTGTTCCTACTGATTTTTTATGAAGGGCTCCTAAAGTATGGTTTGATGGTGACGTTGTTATGAACTTGGAGTCAGAAATTAGACGTGCTTCAGGACTGAGATGCAGAAGATGTGGACTCCTGGGAGCAGCCCTTGGTTGTTATGAGAAGCACTGCAGGAAGAGTTATCACGTTCCATGTGCAGTTCAGATAATTGATTGCCGCTGGGATGTTGTAAGCACTTTTCCTTTGATCCAAAGGTTTCTTTACTACTTACGACCAACGTCATATTCTGACATGCTTAATTTTACGTGGTAGGCTAAAGGCCATGTGTTGTGCCCAGAACATGTTTCAAAGACTCTACCATGTGATAAGCTGCGGACACATAGAAAGGAGAATTACAGTTCTTCCCTGCGTCAAAGGTATTGTAATCATTCTTTGCTCTTCTTGGGAGATATGTAGATGTTGCAATTCATGTAATCTGTATTGTATTTTTCTTTCTAGCCATTGTTCATGCAAAGAAGAACCTTTCACCAATTTCAAGAGGAAGGTCAGCAATCTCATTTGCATAACACCACAAGTTCTTTCTCGCCTGTAGGGTAAATGCATTTCTTCACCTCCATAGATAATATAAAGGTTCATTCAATTTTGTAAGAAACATCCATATTTCATTTCTACAATTTCGTGGTTTCAGCAAATGTGCAGATAAGGAAGGAAATCTTTATGTTCGTCATAGGAAACTCAACAAACTGATCAGCTTAACACTTCAAATACTTCCTCGTTCCCACAGAGGTATGTGAATTGTAATGTCATGCAAATATAGATATTAGAGACCTTGTGATTAATATATAATCTCTGTGCTGTATTTCCCCCCCAAGCCAACCTTGTCACAAAGAAGGAATTTCTCCCAATAGCTCAAGGGGTGGCAAACAAATGGATCAGCTTAACTCCATGAGTTCTTGCTTGCCTGGCAGGTACATGATATTTATTCATCTTTCCTTTGGGTATACTGTAAAGGTTCATAATAATTTTATCTATCACCCATTTCCATTTCCATAATTGGTTGTTCAGCCTGTATACAAAAAAGGAAGAAAATTTTGACAATCATCAAAGGAAAAATCAACAAACTGATCAGCTTAACATTTCAAATCCTTTCTATTTGCCTCGGAGGTATGTGATTTCGTCATGTTTGCTATGTGATATGTAATGTAGATTTTGGAGTTCATCTGATAAATATATAATCTCTGTGTTGTCTTTTTCATGTTTTTCTTAGCCAACATTCTCAAAAAGAAGGAATTTCCACCAATAACTCAAGGGATGGACAAATAGTTCAGCTTGACACCTCAAGTTCTTCTTCCTTGCCACTAGGGTATGTCATGTTTCTTCTCCCTTCTTAAGACAAAGTTTCCTGGTTACTTAGCTTCACTATTCAATAGTCTTTGATTTTGGTAATTCTTTATTGTGTTTCTTGACTCTAGCCAACATTCATACGACAAAGCAACTTCTAAGAATCGTGAAAGGGATAATCAACGAACACATGAGTGTAACACCTCTAATTTATCCTCGCCTCAGAGGTACATGATCTTTTTAGGTCTTGGCCCTTCTTGGGAGATTACATAAAGGTTGTTGGTCATTGAGCAGTCATTGATTATTTAATTATAATTATTTTCTCTTGTGTCCCATCATTCCAGCTGTCATCCAGCCGAAGGAATTTCTATTGCTTTCCAAGGGGAGGAAACAACTGCAGATCAGCCTGACACATCGAACTGCCCTTCTGATCAGTTGGTTTTGTCTGGCTTGTCATTAAGTGTGTCGGAGAAGGTAACATAGAATAAAGTAGCAAAATAAGCCAGTTTTAAAAGGCGTTTCATGGATGGATAACATGTTTCGTATGTTCCATTTGAATCCATCTTTATGGATAAATGTGGTGCAAGAAATTGTTTGCTGCATGCATTACTAATGATTTCTGTTCCATTCGAGCTCATGACCAATTTGCTTCACACTTGTTGGACAGGATTTCTTGCAAAACTTTGCGTATTCGACCAACGCGACGCTGATGGAAGAGTGGTCAAAAGATGTGACCCATGTCATTGTGGCGAAAGGTGCTGGCAGCTCATGCAGCAGATCCTTTGAAGTCCTCATGGCCATACTGCTTGGGAGATGGGTTGTCCATTTTGAATGTTAGTATGCTATCTCTCTGCTGCAGTTCCATATGTGAGCTTTTCTTTTGTATGTTTTGAGTCTACGTTTTACTTATTTGAAGCTGCTGAACCTTATCACCCTCGGAGTCATGAATTGGAGGCATCGAAAATCAGCAGAGGAGTTAGGAGTTTTATCCGGTGCTGATGCTTTTGACCTTGCTCTTTCAGGGGTTGCGGGCTGCTTGGGGACGACACTTCCAGTTCCAGAAGCTGCTTACGAGGTAGCATTTAGCATGGGTTCAGACAGAACAATCGACGGACCGAAGAAGGGAAGACTGCGAGCAGCTGAAGCGGTATGTTATGTGGCACTGGCGGTCATTCAACACAGGAGTCCATTCATGGACCTAAGCTAATCGCTGCATCTCGATTCTTCGTTTCATGGTTGCAGGCACCAAATCTGTTTTCGGGACTGTGTTTCTGCCTGAGTGACTACATGAACCCTGACAACAGAGACCGCATGCGAGACCTCATAGCCACAGCCGAAGGGCGGGTGCTGGAGAGACGCGACCTTCACTTGCAACTAAAAAACCCTGATGACTCTTCGGTGAAGCCGTACTTCATCTACGACGTCGATGCGCCCGCAGAATTCAGCTCGAGCACGCTGCACAAGGAGATGGAGGAGGTGAGAGAGCAAGCGGCGGCGGGGGCGCAGGTGATCTGCCACCTCAAGGTGTTGGATGCCATCGCGGCTTATGACGCTGAGATTCTGAACGTGAAGGACAGCTTCACGTCGTGAATGTGCGCGTAGGTGGGAGAAGGCGATACAAAGTTGTCCCTTTTGTTCTGCGATGCAGAGGACGACGAAGGCTGGTCGATGTATATGTGCATTGATTGGTTGTCGCTTTGGCACTTGCTCAAGTAAGTTTCAGGATGCTCCAGAAATGTTAATGTACCATGGTTCGCGTGCTGCTCCTGAAATTTTGTTTAAGTCACTGTTTATATATCGGAGGTGTGTGTATTTGAACCCTCTAAATACACGTAGCTTCACCCCTGACCGCTCTCGTTTTGGTGGCATGGAGGGTGCTGGTGGCATGGAGGGTGCTGTTCTGTCGTGCGTGATGATCTGGTGGGCCTTCAGAACAAAGCTGTTTTTTGGTGTTGGGTGACCCGCAGGGCCCAATGAATATTCGATTATTGTCACATTATCTACGGTGTTCTAATATAACACCATTAATAAAAAAAACTCGACCCGTGGGATAAGACAGTCTCCAGGCATTGTGCTTAAGAAGAAAACTTTCTCACGTAGGTTGAGAAAACCTTCGAACCTCTGTCTCACCCATACACCGTGGTACCGTAGGTCCTGTGAGATTAGGATAGCCTTAGACCTGTGCTTTGACGTGGGACAGACGAGGGGATTTTTTTTTCAACGCGCAGATAAACTGCGCCTTCTCCGGCTACAAATCCGCTCTCGAGGGGGTTCGGCATGGTGCAAATCGCACAGCCAGACTGGAATTATTCCTAGCCAGATTCCTTGTGTAATTTGTATAATCATTGTTGAACTTAAATGATTTCTAGGCACAATCCTGACTAACTGAACAAGGCCTTAGAGAGAATTCTCTGATTACCACTCAAACCTATAACAATCCCCTAGTTGCCATCCAAAATTATAGACTTCCCTCACTGCTCTGGAATCCTCAATCCCCTCGACGGTAACTAATTTCATCTCATGGACAGAGACATCCACTCATAACGAACCAGTGGATGCTCGATTGAATTCAGATCATTAAGTTGCCTTCTCTCTGTCTACCACTGGCCCACTCGATTGGGTTCAGATCAGCCTTCTCTCTGTCTACCATTGGCATAGAGGTGAGGATATTCCTCATTTTCCTATGCCCTATCGGCTACTGCAAATCTACATTGAAATACAACCAAATTTGTAACGTTGTATTGTTCGGGTTTATATGACAGCCTCTAGGGGCAACTAGGTGCGAATAAATTGCACCGCACAAGCCTAGAGGCAGGATAATGTAGGCAACCAAACAGATCTACAGAGCCTTCATTGTTTAACCAGATAGAATCATTAATATGCTCTGTAGTTACGCAACATGTTCAGCAAAACTCTAATCGTCAAACAGGCAACGCGCACATCTCAAATCCAAAGTCTGATTCTATTTTCATCACGGTGACTGCGTCACAACAGCAAAAAGAAACTCAAAAGTCAAAACATAGGTACAATTGCCCTACTAATTAACGCCAACGAATTCTGAAGCAAACCTAAATCTCAGCTACATGTCTACAACTCCCACCTGGCAGGGCTGCCGGAAAGGAGCTCCATTTTCCAGATCAGCATGCATGTCATTTTCCTGGGGTCAGAAGTTCTTACAGAATCATTTTGTATGAACTCATCCCATCTATGACAACAGCTACTGATCAAACCAAACTAACTTCAAATGCAGGAGAACCTAGGGCAAGCAGCAAGGGTAAATATGTGTGCATCAGAGAAGCAAGTCAAACATACACATAATTAATAATACTTTATTTTATGCATGATAGAAGCACGCTACCTTATAATTCTCGCCTAATATTTTGGCCAGCAGAAGGAAGGACAGGTCTCTTCTCCACTGCTTCGTAATGGAGAACAAAGTTGTCCTGCAAGCAAAAGAATGCTCAGATACACATTTCTCTGCTAATAGATAAGGATTCTGTATGGTTTGATTCAGATAACGAAACCTTATGGACAGTATCCCAGATGCTTGGATCAAAACAGATGTAGGACCCTCGTTCATGAAGCGGAGTTTTCACAAGAGGTGCGGAATTAGGAGCTCTTGTGAGCCAGACACGGTAGTCTTTGTGGTAAAACCACCCTTTATTGTATCTGAAAACATGGAGCAGCAATTTGCTTAAACAACATGGTAGGTTGCAAGCTATATATCAAGAACACAGAGAGTGATAATATAAACTGTGCAGTTTCTATGCTTACAGTTCATTAGCAGCATATAACTGAGCGACATCCTTAGGCATGCTGCACAAAGAACATAGTTAGATGATGCACAGCCTAGTTACATCAAATGAATAGTTAAATGAACTCTAAAGTACCTGTAAAAGATGTAGAATAGTGTCAAGGGGTGAAACTTTTGAAAATGTAATGGCTGCAGAGGATGAAAAATATGTGAATATGTAATGTCAAGGAGGCTAACAAGAACTAAATGTTTAGAAGCTTACTTGCAGTGCTGGTGGTGGCTCTGCAGAGAAACAAGCAGGGATCTGATAATCAGGTTCTCCTATAGCTGGCTCATTTGACCACGGAGAGCCAAATGTCTTGTAAAGATTATCTTGGGAGTTCAAATTCAACCCCAACGATGTCAAATCAATCCCCAAAGCAAGAGCTGTTGGTCCAGGCTCTTTCATTCTTATTAAACTCAACAATCCAAGTAAGCTATATGGATCTGGCGCAGCCTGTGTTCCCTGAACGGATTTTTGGCTCTGATCCTTGTACTGTTGAGGACCTGAAGATGCCTGCAACCTAAGTGAATTTTGAGTCTGTGGTTGATGGTACTTCTGCATGAATTGCTCATAAACCCCCGAATTAGTTGACGGACTTGGAGAATTTGATGGTCTTAGTCCAATAGTTTCCAGCCCAGCATTTTGAACCTAATAAAAGATTACTATGGTTAGTAATCCACATTCAGAAAGCTTAGCAGGCACCAAAAAAATCAAATCTCAGTAGGGATCTCGCCTGCTGCTCTGGTGGAAAAAGAAAATAACAAATCAAGCTGTTTTAAAAAAAGGTGATGTGTTCAATCTTGAGATGATGTGAACAAAAGTAGTATTACTTACTGAATTAGCACTCTGCTGATGTTGACGGGGCGGATAGCTGCTTCCCAAGTTAAAGCCAGATGGTCTAGCCATCTATAGAATCATGTGTGCCGAAATTAAGAATAAGCAAATATAAGTGTTCAGGAAATCAAATGGTAAAACCATCAACTCACAGGATAATGTTGTGCTTGCATAATATTTACATTCTCATGAAGGTGGTCCTTGTGATGGATATCCATAGGATAATCTGAGGAACTACCTTATATTCCAAAGAAACACATAATTAGATAATACACTCCAGAAGAGAAAAAAAAAAGTATGACAAAAACATAATCAGCAGAAACAAAAAAAAAAAACATATCAATGAAGTTATCATAACATTAGTTGGAAACTTGAGTAGAGGATCAGGACGTCAAAGTGTGATTAAACAAGAAGGAAACATCAAAGGAATTAATAAGATATCACAGATTATCATGTAGTGCTGAATTATAGCATATGTCGTGAATGGCTGAATGCAATTTTCCAAACCAAAATATAAATAACAACACATGAAATGCAAGTGCACAAAGCTAAAAAAAACTGGGAACAGGTGGCCGTTCATATCAAATCAAACAAGGGTAAGAGCTTCTGTTTCTCTATTACACTCATAATGAGACTAGCAATGGTAATTGGTGAGCACACACCTTTATTTCCTGGTAAAGCTGGAAAATCTTCGTTCTGAATGCTGAATTCCTGATTTTGTTGCACAATGGCATTGACACTTACTCCATGCTTTCTCAGTGATCCTTCAAATTACAGAAGTCAGAAGTTATATATAATCTAAAGAGTACTCTAAATTAAAAATCATTTGAAGATTTGTTAGCATTGCAGTATTACCATATTGTCCTTGACCACCTCCAGCCGAATTAGGCCGTCCAGTTAACTGAGGGAAGTCATTAATATCAAATGGAGCATTGTCACCTGAGCTTCCATCATATAGCATTCCAGAAGATCCTAAAGAACTGCTTCCTGACTGTACTTGATTCTGAGATAGTGACCCTCCAGGTGTTGGGTAAGAACTTCCAAGCAAGTTCATAAACTGTGGGGATGCTGGCAAAGGATAAACAAAGTGAAACATATATTATTACACTAAATCCCAGTACATAGTGGTACTGATTTCTAATAACAACAGCCTGGTTCCCCTTGTTAGTTTTGAGCCAAAGTGGGCCAAAATAAAAGTTTGCTCTTTGAAACTTCAGGAGCAAAGTGTTGCCCTTCGCCCCTTCCACATCCCTGTTACTAATCTTATCATAAGTGTACCTTTCAAATTTGAACTAGACAATTATAATTAGAACCAGATCATTTCTATCCAGCCAACATGAAAGATATAATGAGAATATACAAATAGATTCATCAATAAAGCATGGAAAGTTCAACCAAGCCTGCATACCCGCAATGTCATCTACATACCTTGTTGAAGTATACTACCCATACGGTTGGATCCTTGAATGTTGATAGCCCCACTTACAGAGTTGCCACTTAAATTCATGCGAGATGCAATACTAGGCATAGAAAGTCCTCCAGAGCTTATACTTCTCCCAATATTGCTCCCACCCATAATATTCCCAGAATTTGTTATTCGTGGACCTAAATTCCCTAAGACTGGAGAAGCTGCCAACCCAGGAGCAGAATTGCGGTTACCCACATTAGCCAAGTTTGAGGATAAACCTTGTATTGAACCACCAATAGCATTCATGCTACTACTAAATCCAGGATTCCCCCCAACATTCATACCTCCTCTGTTGCTGATCCCAGAATGCCCATGAGGAATCTAAAAAAGGGGCCAAGTGAAATGAGAACCGAAGCAACAAAGATCCCACTCAGTGTGAACAGGAACAAGCTGTGGATGCCAAGGAAAAAAACCTGAGACATGGAAGCTTGAAGATTATTTGTAGGGAACCGGCCACTGGAAATACCACCACCGGGTTGTTGAACCCCTGGAGACGGAATGCCCGCCATTGAATTATTTCTTGGTGCTAATGATCCAGAGATATTTGCAAGATTAAGATTTCCATGAATGTTGTGTGAGCCTTGCAAGCAAACTCAGAAGAGTTAACAATAAAAGCAGGTCAATGCAACATGCACCAATGGACTAACAAAATACTGTAATCTTCACCAACCTGAGTGATGAAAACCCGGAAGTGATCCAGATTGACTGGAAAAGGATGATGTAAATGGCCTTCCTGTTGAATCTCTAAGGTTCGAGGTGGCCCCAGTAATGTTTGACTGCAAAAGTGATGAAAATGAGTTCCCCCGTCAAATATATAACTGACACTTTAAGATGCATTTGTACTTACAAGGATGCAAAAGGTAGAATAGCTTGAACAACAATGCTATTATATTAATCAATCGAGCATCAACTATCATAGAAATAAGAGAAAACAAGGCATGTTTGCTTTCTGTTCAGCAACATTTTTATGTATTTTTAATGTGACAGAGAACTAAATAGATACAACAACAACAACAACAACAAAGCCTTTAAGTCCCAAACAAGTTGGGGTAGGCTAGAGTTGAAACCCAGCAGAATCAATCAAGGTTCAGGCATGTGAATAGCTGTTTTCCAAGCACTCCTATCTAAGGCTAAGTCTTTGGGTATATTCCATCCTTTCAAGTCTCCTTTTATTGCCTCTACCCAAGTCGACTTCGGTCTTCCTCTGCCTCTCTTCACGTTACTATCCTGGCTTAGGATTCCACTACGCACCGGTGCCTCTGGAGGTCTCCGTTGGACATGTCCAAACCATCTCAACCGGTGTTGGACAAGCTTTTCTTCAATTGGTGCCACCCCTAATCTATCACGTATATCATCGTTACGAACTCGATCCCTTCTTGTATGACCGCAAATCCAACGCAACATACGCATTTCCGCGACACTTATCTGTTGAACATGTCGTCTTTTCGTAGGTCAACATTCTGCACCATACAACATAGCAGGTCTAATCGTTGTCCTATAAAACTTGCCTTTTAGCTTCTGTGGTACCCTTTATTCACATAGGGCACCAGATGCTTGGCGCCACTTCATCCACCCTGCTTTGATTCTATGGCTAACATCTTCATCAATATCCCCGTCTCTCTGTAGCATTGATCCTAAATATCGAAAGGTATCCTTCCTAGACACTACTTGACCTTCCAAACTAATATCTTCCTCCTCCCAAGTAGTAGTGCCGAAGTCACATCTCATATACTTAGTTTTAGTTCTACTGAGTCTAAAACCTTTGGACTCCAAAGTCTCTCGCCATAACTCCAGTTTCTGATTCACTCATGTCCGGCTTTCATCAACTAGCACTACATCGTCCGCGAAAAGCATACACCAAGGGATGTCCCCTTGTATGTCCCTTATGACCTCATCCATCACTAAGGCAGGCTCAAAGCTGACCCTTGATGTAGTCATATCCTAATCGAAAAGTTATCCGTGTCTCCATCACTTGTTCAAACACTAGTCACAACATTGTTGTACATGTCCTTAATGAGCCCGACGTACTTCGTTGGGACTTTATGTTTGTCCAAAGCCCACCACATAACATTCCTTGGTATTTTATCATAGGTCTTCTCCAAGTCAATAAAAACCATGTGTAGGTCCTTCTTCTCCCTATACCACTCCATAACTTGTCTTATTAAGAAAATGGCTTCCATGGTTGACCTTCCGGGCATGAAACCAAATTGGTTCATAGAGACCTGCGTTATTGCTCTCAAGCGATGCTCGATAACTCTCTCCCATAGCTTCATAGTATGGCTCATCAACTTAATTCCCCGGTAATTAGTACAACTTTGAATATCCCCTTTATTCTTGTAGATCGGTACCAATATACTTCTCCACTCGTCAGGCATCTTGTTCGATCGAAAAATATGGTTGAACAGCTTGGTTAGTCATACTATAGCTATGTCCCCGAGGCATCTCCATACCTCGATTGGGATACCATCCGGTCCCATCACCTTACCTCCTTTCATCCTTTTCAACGTCTCTCTGACCTCGGATTCTTGGATTCTCCTTTCAAACGCCTATTGGTGTCATCAAAAGAGTCATCCAAGCGAAAAGGTTGTATCTGTATTCTCACCATTGAACAATTTGTCAAAATACTCTTGCCATCGATGTCGGATCTCATCCTCCTTCACCAAGAGATGCTCCCTTTCATCCTTAATGAAACAAACAAAAAATTTACCATGTCTACAAAAGGAGAGGCTATATGAGCCACTCATAAGTGATAACATACAACTGATCTAAGAAACTAGACTATGATTGTTTACTGAATAGAAAAAAGATGAAATGCATAACCATATTAATTTAGTAAGGGTGATGACATACATTCAACGGTCCTGACATTTTGATGATGCCCAAAATTGAACAAGCCAGAGCACGTCAAATATTATTATCCACCTAATGGCATGATATTGTTTATCCAATCTGAAGTCCAAAAAGACAAGTTATTTATAAAACCATATTCAACAAAACATTTTTACTTCAAATAAAGAAAAGGAAAGTTAAACAAGCACATCGTCTTAGCAAGTTTTATCAGTAAAACATGGCCAGATTACTTAACAAATGCAAAGCTGGATCAAAAGTTGATTTCTAATTTAAAACACTAACAGGTACTACCAAACTACGAAGACAGAAACAAAGTATTAGACCTGATTTAGGATGATAAGGGTGTGCATAACCTTTAGGTCCAAATTAGCATTTTCAAAATGCAACCATAACTTTAAACTTAAAATTGGGAAGCCAAAAGGACACAAATATTAGATCACGATTATTTCCAGGTTTACTACAACCTGAATACTAGCTGACTGATTTATAGAAGCCAAACCAGATGTTCTAAGAACTTACAAAAACAATTTAGTCAAAGAAAATACTGAGTGAAAGAAACTTTTTTGGGTGTGTGTGTGTGGGGGGAGGATTTTCTTCTGGAATGACTTGCTGAAGCAGAAAGGGACTAGAACTCATGACTTGCTGAAGTGTAGGACTATCAACCAATCAAATAATAACTATAGTATGCAAACTTTATTATTTTTAACGGCCCAACTGGCTCCGAGGACCCTCATGTTTATGGATCACCATACAATGTCTACAATCTACACAGAAATTATCTAAGTAGTACTAACCCAATAACATGTTAGGATAAGCATGAAGAACAAAGAAAATTCTGAAACTGGCAGGCTACATGGAATATAGATGGACAGAGGATTGGCATATTTGATACACAAGACAATAAACTTCTATGTTCATGACTTCTCTTCCTATAGTTTCATCTCCACAGGAACCAATTCTGTGCAGGCTCGCAACAAAAGAATTGTTTGGCTGGTTTTGGTGCCCATGTGGTTTCCCTATAGAAGGTCCAATTTACAAAATTATCTGATCTGAGATTTACAATCCATCATGTCTGCAATGCAGAATCCAACTCGCCACTAAATAAAGCTGCAAGGTCTAAGGGATACATGAACAGATGAAAAAAAAAGATGATGGCCAGCTCGAAAATCATCACCCAGCTATTCAGGAAGCACCTCGATTACACCCCTGCAAATTTAGCACTCATGCCAAATAATTTTATTAAACTCGTGCTTCCCAGGTTTCTACTCCCCTACAAACTGATGGTTCTGTGACCAGTGATCAATCAAAAACGTATACGGGCTCCAGCACTGAATTGCAGAATCCAGCCAGGGGCAGACCCAGTAAAGGACACGAGCCTACACATGTACATCCGATAGTTTTTTGCAACGAAAATGGAAGCTAGTAGGCATAATACATGTGGACTTGTAGCTAGATCAGATCCGAATACAAATAGCTGAAGTTAGGGTTTGGGTGCTCCGTTTCGCACAGCAGGTAGGGAAGGGAAGGGAAGGGGCGGGCATACCTGGTGGGTGCTCGTCACCGGCGAAGGCCCCGACGAATACCTGGGCAGCTGGTGTAGGGCGGCGGCGGCTGTCGCCCAGTCGTCGTCAGAGAGCGCAGCACGCGGGGTGAACGGGAGAAGAGAAGGGAGGGAGAGTGGTGACGCAGCCTGGGGCAGTTTGGTTAAGGTCCTTCAGAAATTTGCAAATTACCTGGGCCTGGAACAGGCTCTGGGCCGCTGGACGCTCCTTTGGCACGAATGTTCAATCCTGGTCCAAAAGAGATCGTCTCCTAGGCACTGTTTTTTTTTTTTTTGCGACTTAGAGCTTCAATTAATACAATGTTCAGTCAGCAGATGAGCAATACAAGCCGGGGTTGATTGCCACTCACCCACACTATCGTCATTTGCAACCTGCTTAGGCAGTACATGAGCAACCCGATTACATGATCTATTGGCATAAACCAAAGAAAAAGCAAGAAATGAGCACTACGATCTCTGATTTCTCTGATGACGGGAGAGATGTGCGATCTCTAGATGTTCGCCACCTCCCACAACTTCACTAGTTTTTGGCTATCTGTTTCAACTTGCACCCTTTGGACGTCCATCTCCTCGGCTAGAGCCATGCCATCTCTGCAAGCCAGAGTCTCATCAACAAAGAGTCTAAGTCGTAGGGGTACCACTTCGCTCTCCCACCTTCAAAATTACCGGCCTGATCCCAAAGGACAACCCCGGTCATACCCTGCCCAAGCACTGGATAGAAGGCGCCATCAGTATTGCATTTGATCCACCCTGCTTGTGGTGCCCTCCACCTTCCTCTGACTTCACCCGCAAACTTCTGCTTTGGGGTTTTGGTGGTCTTCCAGAGATCATGTGCAACATCAACCGCCCATTGCACGGCCTTTCTCAGTGGCAGTTGCCAATTGTTCTTTCCCATGACGGTGTTTATTTCTTTGCGTCCACAGCCAGTACATCCCAATGGTGAAAACACTCTAGTCCTTATCAGAGCAGACATCATCCCACAGAATGTCACTAGCCCAAGTGTGGGGGTGCATCCGAGGTAATTTTACGCTCGTCAAGGACTTAACCTCACGCCAAAACATCCTGGCAGTGGTGCATTCAGTGAAGACATGCTTAATA